ATATATATAACAACCTGTTCTCGAACAATTTGTTCTGAAAATATTCAGAAACCAAATTGTTCTAGAACCGAATCATTCCCCACTTACTTTTGAGGAGAAAAAGTTAGTTTTCAAGCACCAGTTAAATTCTTATTTATATGCTTGCACTATCCAGGTAAATCTTTGGATTCCTTTTAGTAAAAACCTGTCCAATGTTATTTTGCCTGTATTGCACAATTTTTGCTAAAATTGTACATGACATTGTCATTGAAAAGCTTTACTGCTATTCGTTGCCACTGTATCCGGGTGATATTTTTCCACAAAATTGCACATCAACCCCATTTAACAAATTTCTTTGATTAAAGATCTTGGGACAACCCCACTTTCTTCCACCTCATCAGAAGACATTTCCTCAGCCAAAATCTTTTGCTGTTCATTTTGAAGGTGTCCGAGCTCTTCAGTGGTAAGCTCACTACAGTGGTCTTCCACTTTGAAGACATCCAAGTCCTACCCCACCACCACCCATAGACAATATCATCAACAATAGCAATTTCCTCCACAGCAGCAGTACTTGTCTCAACACCCCCACCTCAATTTCGTTCTGGTACATTTGGCTAAGGTTTCCTCTGTGCTTAATTGATGGTTCTGTAACTCGCTGTGTTCCATGCATTATCAATAAGATCGAACAATTCAGGATATTGAAATGATTTTTCCAAAATTCTGAGAGTTAATAGTATCTTTAGTGACTTGAAAGCACTTTCGAAACAGGGCTTTTGTTTAAAGTTTCTTAAAGTTTGCAATAACCTGTTGGTCCATTGGTTGTATTAGTTGTTAGGTGGCAGGTATTTGGAAAAAAAGCTTCAACTAAGTCATCTCCCAAACTAGGAGGGCGAGTGCGAGCATTGTCTAACACGAGAAGGCATTTTATTGGCAAAATATTTAACACTACGCAAAAGCTTCATGAAACACCAAGTTTGTCTGGTTGCCCAAGCCTTCGTATCAGCCCTCCACATAACAGGCAATTTACTCTTCATAAACATTGAATCTTTTGACAAATTCCTTCGTTGCTCACTTGTTTAGTCCATCTTATTCTTAGCGTTCGAACATATCTGCAAACTAATATGCAAATGGATGTAAAACTGTGCAGAACCGAAAATCTACACAACACTGGCTTATTTGTCCGGTGAGTGAAAAGCAGAGAGGGAAGCGTTATGCGTTTACAACATGGCGAATGTTGTGCTGATGGTGACGGCGTGCACAAAAACTGGGAAGCGGGCATATGAGGCGCGCAAGAAAAGTGAGACTAATTAACAATCACGGCGAGAAATAAACTAATCCAGTTTATACATATCCCTCCCCGGTATGTAACGGTCAGTCTAACCAGTACCTGAAGATTGCGTTGTGCATGCAACTCCGAATCGTGCTACCGGTGAGGGATAGCATGTATATTAATATACACTTAATAGCTGTTATACTACAGAGTATTTTTTTATTAAAAAGAAGCACTTCATGTACAATATCATATTCATATAACCCCGCAGTAATCGAGATTTTCTCTATCCTCGGAAGACTTTCAGGAGGTGTGTTGCCTTGTCGAATGCTAGCCAATTATCATTCACGTCTATACATAGAACCACCATCTTTGTTTATATCTATTGTAAACTGACGCTCCTTGCTTGACGATATGGGAAAGGATAAGAGCTACTACAATATTAAAAGGAATTCAAAAGAAATAAAGTTAAAACTAGAGTCAAATATTACAGAGTGCATCATCAAGGGTCATAAATTAAAAATAAATACATTTCGTAAACCCGACTAATACGTTAGGCTTTGCAACGTTAACAATAATATGCACAAAAAAGTTACCCATGTAATAGCTCTCTGTCGTTCTTCATTAGATTCACATATTCAGTTTCAGTTAAGAGTCCATCACCGTGAGAGGCAAATGCAACCAACTTTCTCTGAAAGAAAATATACCCAATATTAAGTTTCAATGCACAGAAGAAAAATGTCCGTCATTAATGACTGCGAAGGCAATCTTCAAAGCAGCCTGTCTACAATGAAATAAACAGATCAAAACTATCGGGATCAAGTGCCACTAAGTGGTTAAGAAGTTCTGGTCGTTGGTAGTACCATCAGTAGTAATATAGAGAAACCGAGTTAAAAACCGTACAATTTCAAGAGATGGGCAGTGGGGGTGGTAGGTGAGAGTCAGTCAGAGTGACTGGATAGAGACTAAAGAAACCATCCCCACAAAGTCCTCGCTAGCCTAAGGAAAGATCTAACCGTTAGTGTATCGCGAAAGACAGCGGCAGCAGTGGATCCAAAATGATATCTATACCAACCACAGATTGTTCCACATGAATCAGTATTCACATATGGAAATATACTGGAAACAGGATTCGCGTTTTTCATGCCACGCCGTGGCATTCATTTCACCTTTCCTTCCCGTGTGAACATGCATTGTATACTTTCTAGTTTTATGCACACCGACCGAAAGGAGAATTGAAATAATATGGGCGTTTTCTCTAGTAGATTAAAGAGGATTTAAAACAGAAAAAAAAATCATCTGTAATGGTTATATGTGAAAGTGCGACGAAGTCCAACAAAGCAGCTCTTGAGGGGGGGGAACTCAGATTTTGAAATTAGAACGGATCAGTATCCTGAAGGACAGATCTCGTTATCTGGAACAAAGACGTTAAGGAGTTTGTTCGTTTGTTTAAAACTTAACGACCCATCGATCAACAAGAGATCATTTAAGACGTTAAGGAGTGTCATTGTTCCGGTAGATGAGGGTAAAAATAAAAAAAGATGGTCAGATTTATTCGTGTGTTACCAAAGGAGAAATATACGAGGGTTAACTATCATTTATAGATTCGGAAGTCAAAAACATTGAGAATTTAAACCACCCAAAGGATCAGTCCTATGACCGGGTGTGGTCGTACGGCCGTTGAACATCTGGTCAGTTCCGTCTATATCTAAGGTTGAAAGCCGTAAATAGGAGGAGGTATTCAAGTCTGCGGAGTGTGTTTTGGGCACGTAGACCTGGTATAGCTCATCCCTTTTCAGGTCAAATCGGATGGGACTTTATGCAATTTGAAGGCCCGCCCTGGAACAGCCTACCCCAACGTGCTTGATGGCCGTTGGCCTGACAAAGTTGAAACGCCCCTTTTATAGGTCTTGTGTTTAATCCTGCTGGGTACTTAGTGGCCTTCCTTGTCAGAAAAGCCTGGTCGGGGAACCGGTTTAGTTGCCAATGACCAGATTATGCGGCTGCCGTAGTACTGAGTTACAGGGTACTGGTAGCATTCGTGACAAGAGATAGTATTATTGAAAAAGAAAAAATGTCAAGAATAATCTGGGTCATTTGAGGACCAACTTTATTTTTCTTGAGAGTTTTGAATGTTATTCTGCTTTCACAATTGAATGCATGGTAGATTGTCAGCTTTTGTGCATACACACATTTGTGCAGACATGTTTAGAGACGGTGATGTGTTTGGTTGAAGTTACATTTTGGAATACAGGCTGATTGAAGACATTGTAGGGTATTATATGGACTAATGTCATTCAAGAAATTATTCTTGTTGGTTAAGATGATATACCGCTAAACAAAAACCAACCACTGGGTTATTTAATGGCTAAATAAACTAAATATTTTCCACAATTTTATGCTTTCAATTAGATATTTTGTACATAATTTTATACTTACGATGTTGAGATATACATGTTGTAGATCATAAAATATATTAATTTCATAAAAAATGGACTGATAGTTTTTGTTGGTGTGGGTCAATATTAGCTCATATCTGGGACCCTAACAGGTGCTACTACCCCAGATCAGGGAACAGCAATTAAACCTCCCGATCAGAGGCCTCGCTGTCAGATATAGTTTATTATACCCAAGACGAGTCAGCTCGAGTTATACTCAAGAAGTTGAGGAAATTTGTAAACATTTGTGTCGCCATCGGGTTACAAATGAGAATGATAAATTCCATGTATCAGAGCCGTATTACAAGTTTAAAAAAAAAAAAAAAAAAAAAGTCCGAGAAAGTTCTATAGACTTCAGACTGAAGGTTTTATTGATAGGATCATATGTAGGGAGATCATCTTTTGTAATTAATCAAGAGCAACTATTTACATTATTCGGACTATTGTCCTCATCTTTGTCGCCGTATTTATCACAACGCTTCGACCTTCTTCAGGTGGTTGGAATGTCGTACTGAACCCTTTATTTCAGTCACTGGGGTAGACTGTTCTAGTTCCACGTGTCATGTTTGATAGATTATCAGTTATCTGTTAATTTCTCTCTGAAAGTTCTCCACTGCCTTAACCGGGTATTGAACTCACTCTTTGGGTCCTGTCACTGGATCTAACCAAGGCCTTTATCCACTGTGCCATGTATCCTTGAGGACATCTGGGTATGAATTTCTGGGTATTATAAACCCAATTTCTTTAGCAACCATTTTTACCAGTGCTCATATTGCAATTTTTGCTGTTATTTCATGTTTTTACCAGAGCTCATATAGCAACTTTGTTATCATTGCTTTTCTCTGACACTCCTTATTACTGGTTCCCATATTGTATTTATTTCTATGCTTGGTCGGCTCAGGAGATTTGTGGCCTAGCATAGCAACTCTTTAGTTTAAGCATGGTTAAATCTTCAAATTTTACACTTCTGACGCTGGATATGTTGAGATGCACAAGGTAGCTTTATGATTTCCCCCCCCCCAGTCAATGGGAAATAAAAAAGCACAAAGGGGTTACTGAGAGTAAATTAAGAAAACTTTAAAATATCCCCATTGTAATAACAAGGGTTTTGAAAGTGTATGAACTTGGACGTAAATTTCCATGGGGAAATTATTTCTTCATTAAAACTATTAAGGTTAAGATTTTAGACTTAGGAAGTAATTTAGCTCAAATAACCACTATTTGACTTAACATCCATTAGTATTTAACCTTAAGACTAAAAAAAAAAAAAAAAAAAAAAAAAAAAAAAACTTTCCTCGTAAGAGCAAGAATACGTGAGAATATGTTAATATCACTTACCCGAATTTTGTCGGCTGGTTGATAGAACCCGAGATACAGCAGTAAATTGGTGAACTGCCTGAGGTTCAAACGACCTTTATTGTCTTTGTCCATCGCTTGGAATTCTTGAAGAAGATAAAGATCGATTGGTAAAGGAGATCGTGTATCCGCATCGGATTGTTGCTTACTGGAGCAGAAAGAAAAAGACCAAACTTTAGAGACGTGCAAAAGAAAAGTCTCATTTACCATGGAATTTAGTGTTGGGTGGTTTAATTAATGTAGAATACTAGTATTGAAATAAACTCAATGAATTTTGTGCGAAAAAAAATCTGTGCGGTTTGCAATAGTTTGTATAGAAAAACCTCAAGTGGAAGATGTTAAACAAAAGGAGACGACTAAGAATTTACTGGTATGAAACTACCATTTTAACATGTTCAATAGACTAAACGCTTTCTCCTACTTAGGAGTTTGTAGTAACCCACAGAGGGTTTACCACGTAAATAAAATATTTAAAAAATAGACACCAATAACAGAGGCAGAGTTCTTAAAAGGTTAAAGTTTTAAGATTGGCAAACAATTAACAACTTTACAATATGTAAAATTGATTTGTAGGAACTGAAAGTAGTCACCACCTGGTAAGGTGCGAATTATTAAGACAATTTCTCCTAAGTGTGAATATACAAATATAGTTAATATAGTCCTGAAAAGGAGCAAGGTAAATCACATGCAAGTGTTAAGTCTTTGGGAATGTTAGTGTTTGATATAGTCCTTCATGAAAGAAAGGGGGGGGGATGGACGTGGTTGAAAATCGACGCTGAAATTAATGCGTCGGTGAATGAATTCTCAGTTCATAAGATCAAACGAAATCACTTGATTTGGGACTGGCAAGTAAGAGTCCAAAAATGGCGGATTGCTGAATAAAGATGCAAAACAAGGTAAAGTTAAGTAAATCCAGAAAATTGGCGGGAAACCAAATTAAAGTGCCGTGTTGTCAGGTCGAAATTAATATGGCGATGTGCCGATGAAGAACGCCACAATGGGACATGGTTGCCCAGTAACCAAATATAGCACGCACACAAAACAGAGGACTGGGTTCCTCAACAGCCAATCCGGAGCTACGGCAAAGAAAAAAAGGAAAAGCAGATTTACTGCATTCCCCACCCCCAAAGAGAATGCAAGCTGAAAAGAGAAACGAAAGTCAATATGTGCGTCTTTCCAAGAAGGAAGTGGAGAAAGGAAACAAAAAAACAAAACCGGAAAGAGGACTACACAGTTTAGGCGAAAGTCGCTTTTGCTATCTTCAGGCAACCCATCTGGTCAGAGAGGGATCAGTAGTCGTAATGACATGATAGCGCGTAACCTTGGGGAGAAGAGAGTCCGAAAAAGAGACAAAGAAAGTTGTTTATGTATAATGTTACAGTCACATAACTTGGCTTGTCTTCGTTATTTCTTTACGAGTTTATGTTTGGAAATCATAAAGCAATGATTCCAATTAGTATTCAGAAACACTGGTACATAAAAAAAAAAAAAAAAAAAAAAAAACCTAGTCATCAAGGGAGCTAATCTACTTCCGGTTGCCAAACCGGTGAATGCGAGAAGGTTATCAGTTATGGGTGATATCTTACACCATGTAACTATTTGCCTTGGGTGTATACAGACCTTGCGTAATGATTAAAGGCAAATGCACAGAAATGAACACAAGATGTCCATATAATACAGAAAAGTTGAAGGTTCAATAGTTCAAGTGGAAAAGCGCTGACGCCCAAGAGAATCCGGGAGGAAATAAGTCTCCAAATGTAGTAGCCACCGCTTGACAGTGTAGTGAAAGGGCGTGTGGACGTGGATGCATACACATACGCTTCGAAAAGAGTTCTCAATGGTTCGCAACCTTATCTCCTGGCTGTGAAAGCTTTGTTTGGTAGAAGCGTGGCATTGTAGCCTGGCGATTCTGATTATCCACTTTTTTTTTTTTTTAAAAATGGAGCGAATTTTGGTCTTATTTCTATCGCAATACTACCAATTGTAGGGATAGCAGTTTGTAGTGTAAGACGCTATTCCAAATTGATAATATTTTCCTATATAATGTTGCTAATACAGTTTAAAAATGTCAGTTGCCTGCTAAACCCTAACGAACAGTGTCGAGACATAACATTCTTTAATTATGAACCGGTTATGACGGGATCCTTCAGCTGAAGGCTCATTTTATTCGATCCGTTCGAGTGGCAGTCTGTTCAGTCATTTGTGGTCAATTTTTGTTAAAGGAAAAATATCGAAGTGATTTTTCTTTATATTGGTCCAATTTGTTAAGGCAGTGACTGAAATGAATGCAGAAGTGGTGCCAGAAACGTAGAAAACTGCTTCAAAGCCAAAGCGAGGACCATTATGTTTAAGTTTTCAAACACACAACGTTTGTGTGTGGTGTGTTCGGGAATGTATTGGTCAGCTTTCTTTGGCTTGCTCGAGAATCTTCATATCTACAGATAGTTCAAACGATTTCTTACAAAGGCTATATTTACTGGCTTAACGCGGTTCTTTTTAGCTGAACGACATCCTCCATATTTAGTAGGAAATTTGGAGTCAGATCATTTACAGAAAGATATGTATTCAGCATTTTCATTTGTATCACGTTTCTTGATATTTTAAGTTCCGGCTAAGGGAAAAAAAAAAAAAAAATTCACCTATGTATTTCTCAGTTTGTGTTTAGAGTCAACTTCGATTAGCTTGTCACCAAATACAGATACGCCTTGCTTAACGACAGAGTTCTGTTGTGAAAGAACGCTGAGCATTTTCTTTAAATCTGTATCACCCATACAAGGCAGTTAAGCCAGTAAACGACGCTAGTCTAGTACTGCGCTTAAATTCACGTCTAGGTATCTAAGCGAAGAGCTCATCCGAACAAGTACCATGGAAGTATGAGGCACAGAGAAGTAACTTTACAGCGGTAGGGGGAAAATAGCTGAAGCCAAACCGCCAGATCAAGACCAATAATATTGCAGATTCTTTGGATACCATCAAGGAGCTCAAGGAATACAAAGGACCGAAAAATAGCAACGAAGCTTTACAGAAAACGGAAACAGGACATTTAACATCAGAAAGTTGTAATTTTTAGGGCACATGAGGAAAGAGGGCGATCTTATGAAAGACGAAAACTCAACCTACATGGTGAGCTTGAGTAAATGAATGGCGGAACAATATTTAGGAGAGATGAGAAAAATTCATTGAGGTACAGAAGACAGGAAGTTACGGAAAGCCATGATCGGGACATCACGTAGATGTTAAGAGAGTCGTACCTGGTTGGTATTTCAGTCATAATACGCGTGTATTGGGTTCATGAAAGTCAACTTCATATGACTTCACGTATATGAAATATTACAACTCCCGAAAATCTTCGGTACTGAACAGTTAAGCTTCGAAAGACTATTTTCGACATTACTTCAGTCTGCATACTGTAATAGAGTACAAATAATTTTTTATATATTGGAAAAGTCGATCAAAGTTTTCTTAAACACCAAAAGTCGTTTTTATTGTTATTTATTGAGAGGGGGGTGAGATTATATACCTGATCGCAAGTTGGGGTGAGGAGGAGGAGATGTTAAATAAATGGAGGAGCGACGTTAGACAAGATGTTTCGAAATTTGCTATCACCGATATTTTACCAAGCCCCGATGGAGGAGAAATTAAAATCCACCCCACCTACTGAGCATTCCGGTGAGGTGGAATGTCAAAGATTTGTTCACTTAATACATTTTATAACCCGTTTAATTGCTGGCATAAAAAAAGCAAGTAGGTTCACCTATCGTCCGGTTCAAATTCCCTCAGCCCCTTGAGTCTTAGGGTATTTGTTTTGAGTAAATTTATTAAAGTTGACAATATCTATCTAATTGCCAACCAATGTAGTTCCTAGTCACAGACTATTGTAAGACTAACCCGTCAGAATAACGGCTTGGAATTTGGTTAGTCATGAGTTACTCAATTTTTGACAGCTGATGATCGTCCTCCAAAACAGTTTATGAAGAATGTTTGCTGGCCGAGCATAGTTTACTTCAAATTTATTCAAATACACCGAAAAACTTATATAGTCCCGACAACTTGTTGCCCCTCCTAACTAGCGTTAATTATTGCAAATGGCAAACATTCGGAACCTGTAAATTTTCAGAGTCAAATTTACAGATTAGTTTCTGTACTGTTCATTTTTAGTTTATTCACGAAGTTCTATTAGATGAAACAACATCAGGGTTCTGGGTTAGTCTAGCAAAAAGACTATAAACATGTTCAGGGTAAGGAAAAAAAAAATCACTTTTTTTAACTAGAGTATTTAGCGTTCCACTTCAGTTTTAAATTTCTTAATAGGTTAAAAAACGCAATGCAATTACTATACGTCTTAAAGAAAAAAAAAAAAGTGAGACATTTTGTGCAAAAAAGTGGCTATCACAGACCTTGCTATTTTTCCGATTGCTGATTGGCTAAATATGAAAGACGCCTAGGCTATCAGGTTTTGACGCTAATATTTTTGAACAGCAGTCTGAAGCCAGTCATGTGACTGAACCAAATAAATAGGGAGCGCGAACGTATCCCATCAGCGAGGGGTTTTAAAGTCAATGATATTCCAGTTTTCCCAATTCAACAGCAAGAAAATACCTTCAGTCATCTGAAGCGACAAATTTACCGAACGTAATTTCGGCTTTTCAGGACAAGGCAAAGAAACTCATTCAGTTCTAGTCAACGGAATTTACTATGAACATTTCTTTATAGCGGCAAAATTTATTGTATTTTCAGAAATAAAATTTCATTTAGTCCCAAACAAACTGAAACAAAGTTTTTTCTTACCAAATACATTTTCACAATATTCATATTACAAAGACTTAACTCATTCACAAAGAATTATTCTTATAAAGACTAACGTTCTCATTGCGAGACTAGATTAAAAAAAATATTTCAAAAGAAAAAGTTCAAATAATTCATAGTTAAGAGTAAACAACTTATTTTTGTATTGTAAAATCTTGAGCAAATTAAAATGCCTTGTTCCCTCAAACCAGTGTTTTTGCTACAATATTACTGAACTTTGAAATTCAGCTTAGCTCAGCTAAATATTCTAAGCAGTTTATTCTTTATAATTTGTATTATTCCTATATAAATATTTTGTTGTTGGTTTTACACTGTCATTTTTTGTATTGCCTTGTGCCATACATCTAAAGTTAAAAGCTTGTGGAGAAGTAAAAAATTTATACACGCAGCCTACCCCATAACCA